AAAAAAAAAGCATAAAAATGATAAAAATTATAGCCAAATAAATAACAGTAATTGCAAACAACACAGAAAATATTCAAAAATACATATATTTTAGCCAAGACTAGAAATTGCAGAAAATATGAAAATGATTAAAAACCAAAAGTATATATTTCAACAAAAAAAAATAGAACACAAAAAATGGTAAATGGACCCATGGGTACCCTTGACCCAATAACGCTTTACGAATTCTAGATTTAAATGTAGACCCATGGGTACCCTTGACCCAACCCCACCCTGACATGAACACATTTCATGCGACCACTGTGGCAATATAAACCTGAGACCCCCGGTGATTTTTTAACACACCGGAGTTTGGTGAAAAAGACAAATATATCACGTAAGTTGGTGTTGGATTAAAACACTGGGGTGTTCAAAAATCACGGTGAAATCTTGGGTTTATATTGCGAAACGTGTTATCCACCTTGACCCTTAATGGGTCACTCGACCTATATTGACCCACTACTAAATGGGTAGATTTCAAGCAGGTGGGTTGGATGGATCAAATGGTTTGAGGTCAAATTTGTCATTCCAACCAATTTGATGACATCTGCTGTAACTAATGTTGTTTTAATAGAATGGTTCTATGATTTACAAAAACAGAGAAAAAGGTCATAAACACAATAGCTAAAGATCTTAGAGTTTGACATTGATTGATGACCTCGTGTTTGTATTGAACAAAATAACTATTTTTATTCTGAGGAGCCCATGGCAATTGGCAACTACTACCCCACAACGTTTGTTTTATATGTATATTATTAGGGAATAAGCCAATGACGTCTTCTATGCGAGTAGAATATTCTTGTGCTATGGGTTGATGCTCTTAAAGCCCACTTTCAATCACTTTCAATCTCTAACTGTCAATTATTTAATCAAAATTATGCATCTCTATAAAGTAGACCAAATGCATATTAAATGACAGGCGTGGCCAATAATTAATTCACAAGATCAAAACTAAAATTGAAAAATCAAAGTCTTGTAGAAGGTTGTTATGACAAACTCATTTCTTGAATATATATACATAGATATAAATTAAGCTAAAACTATACTGCATCACAAGGGCTGTAGGATGATAGCTGAAAACCTGAAGTTTCTGAAATAAATAATTTATTGTTTTATCTTTTAGTGGATAAAATAATTAATAATAGTTTATATTCAAGGGTATAATTTCAGCCTCAACCATTAAGGTTGTGTTTGGTTTGAAGGAAAAAAATAGGGAATGGAAGGAAAAGGTAGGAAAAGCTTTATAAACCTTGTATAAGTTTTCCTATTTTTCCCTTCCTTTCCCTACTTTTTTCTTTAAAACCAAACATAGCCCAAGTATCTCACACCATCCTTAAAAACCTATTCATTAAAATACAAAAAATAAATAGGATTTTCATCCCACACATCTCATACATAATGGGTCCCGGTATGTGCAGTGTCGGATCATGTTGGGAGGTGTTCAAATGTGTGTTTGTTAGCAGGTGATCCCAACTTGTAGAATAAGTAGCTTAAATGAGAGTGAGTCTAGAGGGTCATACACCAGCAAAATCCTTGGGGGTGGAATAGAGTGACCAATCAATCAATGAAAAATGCAAAGAAATCACCGAAGAAGACAATAAAGGCCATTACAAAGACTTCACATTTGTGCCCCACAACGTCCCATAGCACATCCCCGCATGTATAGGGAATATCTCCTGATGATAATATCAGAAATGATGATGTCATCATCCGAGAGATGTTCTCAATACATGGAGAAATGTGCTGTGGGACATTATGGACAGATCTGAACTCCATTACAGAAGCTTTCACTCAGATAGAGCCAGTCATTGGGAATTAGATTATATAAAAAAAGGGTAAATTACAAAGACCCCCCTATACTTTGTTTTGCAACAAAGACCCTCTATACTATGACGATAAGACAAAGCCCCCCCCCCTTGACTATTAAGTCAGATAACGGAATGCGTTAAATTACTAAAATACCCCATTAAACTTTTTATATTTTCTTTTTCTACCCTTTTTCTCTTAAAAACCTATTTAACTCATTGTTTTCCCTTTCTTCTCTTATTTTCCCCTCCTTGACTGTCCTCTCTCATTCTTTCTCCCTCCTACCACCATGGGTTTCACTTCTTGAGGAGGTTCTCCTCCGGCAACAGCAAGGCAAAGCTCTTCTACCTTGGCCCAGAACATGGAACGCCTAGAAATTGATGTTATCATGAGAGAAAAAGTTTGAAATAGTTTCATTACTTTGTGGTTATGATTATAGTCTCTTTAGTACAATTACTCTAGAAATGATTTCATAGTCTAGAAATAGTTTGACTTCATCTATGGTTTTGTCTTGAAATAGTTTCATTACTCTAGAAACAATTTCATAGTCTCTTTTGTATAGTTAATGTCCGGCAGGGACGTCAACATTAATTGGGATTTTAATGGAGATCGTGGTGTTGGCCAAATGGCTCAAGCTAATATTCCCAAATATTCTCAAGATCCTTTGCAAGGAATCAATGAACCAATGAATAGGGCAAGAACAAAGATAATGGAAGAGGCTTTACAAGGCTTAATCATGGAAATGCATGACAAAGAAGCTGTTCTACAAGATTCTAAGACTATTCTACCAGTTTCCAAAGCTTCACCAAGGATAATCACCTATCTTTATGTGCAATACGATGTACAAGGCTTAGAACTTGAAGAACAAAGCTTGATGGGCTTGGCGCATGGACATGATAAGAAAATGCCCAATTCGCATGCAAAGATGTATTGATGGGCTTGTTTTGTCTTGTTGGGCTTGTTTTTATCTTGTTTTGTTTACTTTGACTTTTCTATGCTTAGTTGTCATTAGTTGTAGTCTTTTAGAAGGATTCCTATTTCAAAGCAGATTTGTTTTCCTAAATTAAATGGATCATCATCAGTTAGGTGTTTCCTGATAAGACAATTATTAGTTAGGAGTTTCCTTATAAGATAATGATGTTTACATGCCTATATAAAGGTCACAACTATGTAAAACGAAAATCATCAATAATATAGAGGTATTTTCAGTAAGATTAGCTTTGCCTTGTTGTGTTCTTGGTATAATACAATATCTTGACTTATCAAGAGAGTGATCAACTTTTGTGGTGTCTTCAAGATTGGATACTTTAAGGACTTAGTTTCCTTAAGGTTCTAATCTGATCAACTATAACTTGTTTTCTAGCTCCTGGGTGCGCATAACAATTTGATTCAAGAGTTCCTAGAGAAGGTCGTCTAGTGGGTTCTTATCAGGTTTCCGAGTTGAGACCTTTTGCACCAAATCGTCCCTAGCCATTTCTCCATTATCAGTCTCACGGAGAGCTTTCGGGTGGTGAAATTTTATGAAGGTTCTCCTCCAACAACAGGGCGCTCTTGGAATGGCCAAAACTTATCATGCTGCAATTTCACGGTGGCAGAAGTTGCCTATCCGGCTGCATTTGAGGACAGGTTGAAAGTTTTGAACTAGTTAGGGAAGCAAGCAAATGGAGAGAGAGAGAGAGAGAGATCGGGATTTGAAGATAGTATCAGAAGGTCAGGGAAGATGAATAGTGTTTTTCTCGTCTAGTTATTACAAGGGTAGTATGGGGATTAAAAAATATTATAACGACATTTTTGGACAGAAAGCTAACGGAAGGGGGTCTTTGTCTAACAGTCATAGTACAAGGGGTCTTTGTCGCAAAACACAGTACAAGGGGTCTTTGTCACAGACCCCATAGTACAGGGGGGTCTTTGTAATTTACCCTAAAAAAAGTGGCTTAAACCTCAACGTAAGTAATTTATCCTTAATGATAAATCCTTTTTGTTTGTATATACCATGGATATGGGTATGTTGATAATAACTAGTGGTATAAATAGGGTCGAGTCATAGCAAGTTAATGTCAACATGGCCCAGCCCATGTTGAATTCCCTGTCGTAAGTCTAACTCAACACGACTTTTTGGGTTAGGCTTATGTTGAGTACGAGTGTCAACAGTATTTGAAAATCCGATTTCGAATTTGAGATTTGACAAGAAAATCTATGATATAGAAAGAGTTTTGACCAATCAAAACCCACCCATGAATATTGATAAATAATACCTCATTATATAATTATTAGGCATATATTTTTAGTTATAACCTTGTTAGAGAATATGTGTTTCCGTATGTTGATTATAATATATTTTTTCATGATATAATTCATTTAGGCCTTATATTTAATTTTATCGATGTATTTTTATGATTTATTAAAGTATCTATAACGTTTTCATGCATATCTTAATTTTTCGTCTGCATTCATGCGTATCTAAGATGTATTTCGATACATTTCTTAAATTTGTCTTTCCAATACACTTAATGTTTCTGAAAGTTTGAACCTTGATCGCACCTCATATTCATTAAGCTAGTGGTCACTATGTGAAAGCACTCTCTAATCGGCACTCATGCTTCATTTGAATTACTTATGCTTTTGAGCTATGGACTATGAAAAACAGCAAAATTGAGCCATGTATTTGAATTACTAAAATTTTTATAATTTGAAGTCAAAACACTTTTGAGCCCACAATCCAGATCCTAAAATAGGGAGTTGAATTTGTGCTTTTGAGCAAATCGAACTTATTCTAATACAACTTTAGGCTCAGTTTGGAAAGGGTACAAATACAAATTTGTAGAATGCAAAACCTTATATATTTTATATATATTTTACACTGTATATATTTTATATTTATACTCTTTTCAAACACGGTCCTAATAACCTTTAACAATAAAACGTGATTCAGTAGTCCATTCAAATAGCCATCATAGCCTTGCATTGGGAATATTTCCCTATAATAAAGCATAGAAATACGGAGAAGGCTATAAAGACTGTTCGAACAGTGTTCGAACGGACTTTGCTCTGATGAAGCCGATCTCAACAAAACACTCACGTGCATAACACGCGTGCATTTGTCGGATCACATCAAACTGCTAAAACTGAAAATGTTAATTGGACCGTAAGTGGCGAATATTACGGTGACTGTCGAGGCAAGTCCTTTTTTACATCTCCGTTTCCCTTCCTCGCACTTTGGTTTGGGCACGTGAGATGAAACAGAAAACTATTTTCGGTTTTTGCAATGAAAATTCCGCCATGGATTTCTGCGACTGGAGCTCTAAATATGATTCTCATGATCTGTGAGTATCAATTTTCATCTTCTGATTCACTATTCCTCGTCCTTTTTCTTTGTTTATTTCGTTGTTTCTAGGGCTGAAGTGCACAATCCATATTTGCAGACTTGCAGTGAGGAGTTTGGTAGCACGGTACAGAACTTCGGGCAAGCCAAATATAGGGATTTAGTTCATTCCGAGTGTTGGTTCTTCTGCGAGATGGGCTTTTCATTACTGGTATTTTAATTGAGGTGGATAGAATTGCTAAGCGTTGAGTTTGGAATGTTCGAGATGGTAATTTTTGATGCGAGAATCTTTTCCGGTTTTAGTTTTTTCGTGTAGACATTGCAATTTTAAGGGGCCATTCTGGAAATACGTTAAGTATGGATTTCACCTGTAGTTTGCGGCAGCCAAATGTGCTTCCTCGTGGTGAAAGTTCAAGTTCCAGGACGTCTGATTATCTTAATCCGTGCCTTAGGTTTAAGTGCAGAAGTTTTGATTATAGGCATATTGGATATCCGAGGGTTGTTTCAACAGGATGCACTTCAAAGAAGATGAAGAGAGTTGTGAGTAGTTGTGTTGCGCGTCGTGGAGGAGAGCTTGATAGATTTTTGTGGGCTTCACCTTTAAAAGGGTCTGTCGATGGCAATTTAGGTTATCTTTTGAGGTTGACGAGGGAAGCAACGCGGTTACAGTGTCAAGGCAATGATTCTTTAGCGTTTGTTGATAGCAATGGTTTAAACGCTGAATTCCTAAACAGTCCTAATGGGGAAATGAAAAGCTTATCCCCAGAGAACTCACAAACAGGGTCCGTTTCTGATGCAGAACCAAAAGGTTTAGCAGAGGAAGCGGCTGAGACACCTAGTGTAGATGACTTGAGGGAATTGCTTCAGAAGGCTATCAGGGAATTGGAAGTTGCTCAGCTTAACAGTACGATGTTCGAGGAAAGGGCTCAAAAGATATCGGAGGCTGCAATTGCCCTGAAAGATGAAGCAACGAAAGCCTGGAATGATGTAAATTCTACTCTTAACTCCATTCAAGAAATCATCAGTGAAGAAGATGTTGCCAAGGAAGCTGTTCAGAAAGCAACCATGGCCCTGTCTATGGCTGAAGCAAGGCTTCAGTTGGCAGTAGAATCTCTAGAGACTGCAAAAGGAACAAATGATTCTCCAGAGGTTTATACAGAAAGTAATGCAGAAAACATAAAAAGTGTAGAAGCATCAAGCTCATTACGGAACGATCAAGAGACACTTTTAGTGAACCAGAATGAAATTAGTGATTGTAGATCTACTTTGGAAAATTGTGAGGCAGAGTTAAGACGTGTAAGGAGCAGAAAAGAGGAGCTACAGAAGGAAGTGGACAAGTTGAGTGAGGTTGCAGAGAAAGCACAAATGGATGCATTGAAAGCAGAGGAAGATGTAGCAAACATAATGCTTCTTGCTGAGCAAGCTGTTGCTTTAGAACTTGAGGCTATGCAACGCGTAAATGATGCAGAGATTGCTTTGCAGAAGGCAGAGAAGCTTCTGTCCAATTCCAATGTTGATGCATCAGACACTTTGATGGAATCTTCAGAACAAGGACATAAGTTGAGTGACGAATCTCTTGTTGAGGAGGACAGGGTGACTCAAGGATTTTCTGGTGATGTTATTGTTGAAAAAGAGAGTGATGGATCAGATGGGGATGCTTATCTGGGTGGTGAACCTTCATTGGACCACCAACCTGATATAACTGAAGAGACTTTTGAAGAGTTAAAACTATCTGGTGATTTACATGATCAAAATAACGGGAAACTAAATGTGGATTCTAATAAAGAGGCTGAACATGAAGCTGAAAAGTCGAAGAGTGTGGTTCAAACAAAGAAGCAGGAGCTGCAGAAGGATTTGACTAAAGACGGTTCAACTCTTAGTGCTCCCAAAGCATTGCTGAAGAAGTCCTCTCGTTTTTTCTCTGCATCATTTTTCTCTTTCTCAGTAGATGGGACTGAGTACACACCAGCTTCAGTGTTCCATAGTTTCATTGCATCTGCAAAGAAGCAATTGCCCAAACTGGTCATCGGGGTGTTGCTTGTTGGGGCTGGGTATGCATTAATGTTGATTAATTTTTTCTTTATTTTTGTGCCTGTTGTTGTAGTCATAAAAGCCTTTTAGATTCTGTGTTTTTTGGAGCTGTCATACTTAGTTGCATTTCCTTTGTTTTTTTGGTTAAGCTCTACAGGAGAGATTATACATCCTGTTTCCTTAGGATTATCATGATTTAGTTTTGTTAACGTAATCTAGATAATTTATGCTTTAAAACTCAGCCAAACAAAGAACAAGTGAAACTTAAAAAAAAAAAAAAAACTTTCTGTTCGAAGACAATTCCTTTATGTTTGGTCTTGTAAATAAGCTATTGTCTGAAGGCTATGGAAACACAGGCAACGATTAGTTAATGTGGAAGCATTGTTTTGAATCTAATAGAAAAAAAGTTTCCTTTTCATGGTAGAAATATTACAACTTGAAAAGTTCTTTATTATTTGCTTCTTTCTTTAATTATCAAATATATCTATATCTATATCTCTATCTATATCTATCTATATCTATCTATCTATATATAACAACTTGAAAAGAAAGCCTTTATCTTCTTACTTTAAGACCTAGTTTTCTTTAGTTGTTTAGCAATACATTGGAGTTTTTTTTTTTCGTTTTTCTTTTTGTCCTTTATTTTCTTTCGGTTTGTCTTTAGTTCTATGTTTTTAATTTGCTTTAAAATTTGCCTTTCTCTGATAAAAAATGCTTAAACTTATGACAGGATTACTTTTCTTATTAATCGAGCAGAGAGGAGTTCTCAGCTGCTTCAGCAGCCAGATGTTGTAACTACTGGTATTGGAGAAGTGTCCTCAAATGCAAAGCCTTTACTGCGAGAAATACATAGATTTCCTAAGAGAGTGAAGAAGATAATTGAGATGTTACCCCACCAAGAGGTACATGCATTTTCCTTTTAATTTCTTTTTCCCCAAAGCAAATGAATTAGTGGATAGTTGTTAAAGCTGAAGATGTTTGAAACCAAAGTCTATGATATGAAGCTTCACAGACTTTAGCAACTTAAAAAAGCTATATACCTCTTTTTTTTTTCCCGAGAGGAAATTAACCAGATTTCATTAAAGAAAGAAGGGGTACATAAGATGTACAAAACAGGGGAAGAACCCCAAAAGGCTACAGAGGAAGCTTGTCACTATACAAATGATCCAAAAACACACCACATTTGGCTAAGCCATCTGCTATATGATTTAGTTCCCTAGGAATCCAAGCTAATTTTGCATTTAAACTGTCCAAGGAGTCCCCACCCTCTGCCAAGTAGTGGCTCATTCTCCAAGCTCCCCCCTCCTTGTCCCTTAACCATTTTATAGTATTTGTTGAGTCACCTGCAATGATTAAGTTCTGGATTCCCAAATTTTTTATTATTCTGATTCCTGTGAGAGCAGCCATCATTGATAAAATCTGGTTGTCTCAAGGTTATTTGATGAGGGTGAGGGAGAAACGGAAAGGGGTGAGTATCTCTATTGAGGTCATTGATTGAGAGTCCTTTGAACAGATCTGAATTGACAGTCCAGAGGTTGCAAAGGTAGGTAATTCCTGAAATTAGCTCTTCAAGGGGCCTGAATTTATTGTCAAAGAGGCTTTTATTTCTTTCTTCCCAAACTCCCCACATTACTGCATGTAGCACAGATTGCCAATAAAGTTTACCCCTTTTACTTAAGCCTATGCCTTGCCACTGATGCAAGGAGTCCAGAATGTGCTCTGATATAACCCAGCTGTATCCTGCCATTCTCAAAGAATGATGCCAAATGTTTTGGGTGAACTTACAGTGAAGCAGGATGTGATCTGCTGATTCACCTTCACTGAAACATAAAATGCAAATATGAAGAGAGAATTGAGAGATAGACAGTCTTCCCAAATATTCTTCTATAAGAAATCACAAGTATTTTGTCTCTGAAGACAGGCTTCCCATACAAAGAAGCAGACTCTTGAAGGGATGTAGCTGCACCAGATCTTCTTGAAGGGGAAGGAGGAGTGTTGTTCACCAGCAATCAGAACCTTGAGCATAGACTTAGAAGAAAATCTGCCAGTAGGATAGGGGGTCCAGATTCGGGTATCAGGGGAGGAGGGGGAGATGTAGGCTTCTTTAAGGGTCTGAAGTAAGGCAATTAATTCAGAAATCTCTGGGTCCCTTAGAGGTCTTCTGAGGCGAAGGTTTAGGGTGTTCTCAGCAGTTTGGTCTGGAAGGCAAGATGAGACAGTGGCTTCTTGGTCATGGGTGAGGTTGAAAAGTCTGGGGAATGAGGCTGCAAGGGTAGTTTCTCCCCACTAGAGATCTTTCCAGAATTTTATTTTAGATCCATTTCCCACTTTATATCTTATAAAAGGAAAGAAAAAAGTGTGAGTGGAGATTATACCTTTCCAAGGATTTGTTGACTTTATCCTGTACAAATGGAGATTGCTATCCCACCCATTTGTGTTTGACCCGTATTTGCTCGAAATGACAGCTGCCCAAAGAGCATTGGATTCTTTAGGGAACCTCCAAAGCCATTTTCCCAAGAGAGAGGAACCCACTTTATATCTTATAAAACGAAAGAAAAAAAGTGAGTGGAGATTATACCTTTCCAAGGATTTGTTGACTTTATCCTGTTCAAATGGACATTGCTATCCCACCCATTTGTGTTTGACCCATATTTGCTTGAAATGGTAGCTGCCCAAAGAGCATTGGATTCTTTAGGGAACCTCCAAAGCCATTTTCCCAAGAGAGGAATTTTTCTCTTTAGGGAACCGCCAAAGCCATTTGTGTTTGACCCTCTTTCTTTTCGATAACTTTCATTTTTGGCTTGAGACTGACTTATCATCTGCAGTTTCTTTCATTCTGTTGAGTAAATTATGTTCTTATGTTGCTGTCACTCTTCCTCTCTGTCAGATAAATGAGGAGGAGGCTTCCCTCTTTGATATGCTCTGGTTACTCCTTGCAAGTGTTATATTTGTGCCCATATTTCAGAAAATTCCTGGAGGTAGAGTTAATTTATGTACATGTTCTACATTAATATTTTATTCTATCTCATTTGTCAAATGTGTCAGGAATGGTCTATAATACCTTTTAATCATCTATTGTTTTTTCATATTTTGTATTACTGATGGTGTATCTTTTATCTTCTATGTTTAGGGAGTCCTGTACTTGGTTACCTGGCTGCTGGTATCTTGATTGGGCCATATGGTCTTTCTATTATTCGCCATGTTCATGGGACAAAGGCGATTGCTGAATTTGGAGTTGTTTTCTTGCTATTTAATATTGGCCTTGAGGTGGAGGAGTCTTTAAAGCATTGGAATTGAATTTATTTTTCTTCTTTCCATTCTTTACTTTGAAACATGTGATCCACTGCATTGTTTCATAGAGAATTAAGGCATACTATGTGTTTTTTGTTTGACAGCTCTCTGTGGAAAGATTAAGTTCCATGAAGAAATATGTTTTTGGATTAGGTTCTGCCCAGGTGAGTGGCAAATTTTGTTGCCTTATTATTGATCAAAAAATAATTTGTTGCCTATGTGTGTGTGTGTGTGTGTATGTCCTCAAGATCATTTTCCTTTCATGAATCTATGAATAATTCATTACTTTGCATACAATGGAATGCAGGTCCTAGTTACTGCAGTGGTGGTTGGCTTGGTTGCTCATTTTGTTTCTGGGCAGCCTGGTCCTGCAGCAATTGTTATTGGGAATGGACTAGCATTATCTTCAACAGCTGTTGTCCTGCAGGTGATGACCATGAACTACTTTCTGTTTAGAACAAATGGTAATGTACCTCATGTATTATAGTAGCCTACGATCAGGTTGTTGCTTCTAGTAGCTCTATGTTCATATGAGACCATTGGGCCTTAGCTGTTTTTGCATGGGTATGTGGTGACATACTAACATGGGCTCAGCTTATGCAACCCTGTCAAGGGAACCTACAATAAGTTTGTCCATATTTCAAACCTGTTTTCAAATGCTTTTCATATTCAGCTGAGAGGCCTCATTAAGGCAGACACAAGATACCTTCTAAGAGTCAAGGAATAGAATGAGTTTGTTTCCCAAAACATTTTGATATTAACTATGTGTAAGGTCCTTTTTTTTTAATTTTTGATGAGTAACAGCACTGAATTTTATTAATTAGAAAATGAATATGAGTACATAAAGACAGAAAAACCCTGGTGAGGAGGCTAACCTCCAACATAAGAAAATCTTAGCCAATTTGGCCCCAATACAATTGATACCTCATTACCCCCCTCACTTTACTAGTTCATCTGCCAACCATTGGCAGCCCTTGGAATCCACTTCACTTGTGCTTGCAAGTCCTCTATTATTCTTTTTAGCTCTCTGAATACGTATCAATAGCTCCAAGCCACTTTTTGCTCATCCTTTAACCATGCAATGACTGTTCTTGAATTTCCATCAGTTTCCACCTCCTTGAAGTTCTATGCTTTTAGCTCCTTAAACCTGTAACTGCTACCCGAATCTCTTCCTTAATTGAGTTTCTTGTTCCCAAAGGACCTACAAGAATTTCTAAGGTATTTCCATTTTCATCCCTGATTGCTCCACCTATGCCTGATGGCCCAGGATTACCCAGGCTGCATCCATCAAAGTTCAGTTTTAGGTGTCCCAAGGATGGAGGTGCCTAGCTAACCACAGGTTTTACTGTCCAAAGATCTGACCTTGCCACTTCTTCCAATTTCTAATGATGTCATACACTGCAAAATCAGAGAATATATCCAAAGTCTTCACCCAATGCACTACTTTGATTGAGATGTTGTCAATATGTTCTTCTAGTTTCCTTTCCTTATCTTTGAAAAGGCGACCATTCCTTTCTAACCACACACTCCACAAAATTGCTGTCCTTGTGAAACTCCAAAGCACAGTTCCCCTTCTCTTTGGCAGGGAGATAAATGAGTTGAGAAATAAACTTTTCAGATCCAAAGGTGGGTCCCACCTGTTTCCAGATAAAGAGAAAAACTCCAGATAGTAGACAGAAAACTGCAGGAGATTAGGAGATGAAAAGAGCTTTTATCATGTCCTCTAGACAGAAGATAAACATTAGGAAATAGTATCAACCAAGGTTTCCTTTTTTGTAATGTACTAATCTTATCGTGATATACCTCCCAACAAAAAGCTCTAATTTTAGGTGGGGTTGGGCCTTTCCAAAAGTTTAGATTTGTCAAAAATCCCTTCAATTCTTTACCAACCAAAAGTATATGTGTTTCTGAATTAAGATCTCACATGATGATTAAATATAATCCCTGTAGTAAGTAAATATATTAACATTTCTGGACTTCTTCAGGTGTTGCAGGAACGAGGTGAGAGCACATCACGTCATGGGCGTGCTACTTTTTCTGTTCTACTATTTCAGGTATTACTCCCTTTTTGGATAAGTGTTAGCTCAATAGGCTTGCTAGTAGAAGATATTATCATAAAATGATTATTGCAAGTTCAATCCACAGTTCAAGTAGTGACTACTGAATTACAAAATGTTTCTTTTTTTTTGGATAAGCAATAGAATTACACAATGGTTCATCATGGGCTTATTTTTAAAAGTAACAAATTAGTTAATTTATTAATACAAAGAACAGGTCAAAAAAGATCTGTTATTGGTGATTTTCACAACAGATATCACTGAAACTGATGATTGAATATGAACTTGAAAGAGAGAAAACAATCTAGCAGTTGGCTGCAAGTTTTCTGGTAAAATAATTTCAGATGTGATCTCATTATGTTCTGGAAAGATGCCTTCTAAAGTAGGGCAATGATGACTTAAAAATAAAAGTACAAAAGTACCCCTGTGCAAAAATTGCTGAAATAACCCTTTTTTGTGACTAATAAACCTGTAATAACCAATTCAAAGATTCTCTAACATCAATAAATCAGCTATTTTTTTGGTAAAACAATAAATCAGCTATAAACTCAGGAAAATATCTAGAAACAACCAATAATTATTAAAGCAGAAAGTAAACAACTAATAGAATTTAGGAATGTGACTACTTCCCTTTCTTTTTCTTTCCTTTTGATTTGTCACATGCCTTCTCAATTTGTTCTTTTTTATTTTGTGATAAGTTCCTCAAATTGGAGTTCTTTAGATTCTAAATAAGTCCCTACACTTGAAGGAGGACTCATCCCCAAGTCTTGCAATACTGGAATTGGAAGATAATATACTCATAAAGATCAACAACGTTGATAGTCTTGGATGTATTCATGGAATTAGGAAGATCCATCATATATGCATTGTCACTAATCTTCTCCAAGATTTTGCAAGTTCCAATCTTCTTTGGGATGCGACTTGTATTGGTTTGTAGGATAAATGTCCTTCCTTGGAAACACCATAACCTCAAAGCCTTATTTGAAAACCTTGGAATGCCTATGCTAGCCAGCTGCTTCTTTATACATGGCTTTGGCTGCTGTTTGCTTCAAGATGTTTCTTTACATCTTCATGACTAGAAATGATCTTATCAATTAAGTGCTCTCCTGCCATTGCTATACCTTGGTATTTTAGGAAGAGGAACTAGGTCATATGCATGTCTAGGAGTACGCCCACAAACAATCTTAAATGGAGTCTTTCCTATAGATAGATTCACCTTGTTGTTATAAGCAAAATCCATTTCTGCAAGAACTAAATCCCATTGCTTAGAAAGGCTACACATATCGTATTGCCAAAAGTTCTATTCATCCCCTTTTCTGAGAATCAGTCTGAGGATGACAAGTGCTGCTGAAATGTAATTCAGAGTGAAGTTATCACAACAAAGTTCTCCAGTAGTGATTAAGAAGCTTTGTTTTATATCTAATATAATGGATTGTGGAATACCCAAGGTTCTAAGTATCGATACACCTTGATACGGTGGAAGGGGTGTATCAGTACTTTGTACCAATTCATTCCTTTTTTTTTTAGTTTTTTTCCCCAAAACAGGGAGGGGGTAGTATCCATGGTTTCTTTTAAATTGGTTGGGATGCTGGGGTATTTCGACGGGCTTTGCTCACAACACCTTGGAAGGCAATTTTTGTCACCCTCCCTAAATTCCTTAGGTTTATAGGGTAAGATGTCTACTCTGGTAATTCTATTCCTTTTCAGGAAGATGTTTTTGTGGGTACTCAGTCCTTGAAAGACTGCTTCCCCTCTCTATTCTATCTCCCTCTTTAAAAAGGAGCTTGTTTCAAAGTTCCTTTCTCCCTTGGTTCTCCCATTGACATTAAATTGAGACTTTGGGTTATGTAGAGGTTTAAGGGATTATGAGTCTGCTTGTGTCTCTGAGCTTTTACTTCTTTTGGACTTTGTTTGTTTGGACCCCCTTAAACTTGATAGAAGAATTTGGACATTGACTTTGAGTGGCTCTGATGGGGATCAACCTAAGGCATATCAAAAGAGAACCAAAGCTGCTCCTATGCTCATTTGGCATCATTGTGAAGACGTGGGGCCCACATGGGAGCTGGGTTATCTGTGCATCAACTTGGGAAGACCCTAGAGTCTTCAATCCACCCTAAGATGCTCTTTGTGTGGTTGAGCTTGCTACTGGACAGGACTTAGTTGGTATATGGTTTTCTTACACTTCTGGACAGCAAGGGTATTTTTGTAATTTTTCATGTTTAGTGGGTTATGTTTGGGAACAGGTCTTCGTCTAGTAATTTCCCTTTGTTTGGCTTTGTGTTTGTAATTGTTTGGGGCAGGTTTAGTCTAATCTAGCTTCTTTTTGTAAGTGGCTTGTTGGGCAAGCTAACTTGGGGGGCAAGTTTCTTTCTTTGGAAGCTTCTTCTTATTAAGCTTGTAAGGTTCATTTGGAAAGACAGTTTTGACTGATGAACAAAGAAGGTTTCTCTATAGAGTTTGGTGTGATTTCCCTCACCCTTAGGTGTGATTGGGTTATCTTCTTTCATCTTCTCTTCTCTTCTCTTCTTTCTTTTAATCTGATATTTGTTACAACCTGAGTTTAGTTGCAAGAATAGTGCTGAATCACAAAGGTCCTGCACTGGGCTCCTTCATTTGTGCCTCATTCTTCAAGTCCCTTTGTTCTACTCCTTCCTTTTCGGTGTTCCCTATCAAAGAAATCTGGTCAAGGCCTATCCCCCCTAAAATAGCTGTTTTCTGTTGGGAAGTTTATTATGGCAAGATCATTACTCTAGATAACATACAAAAGAAGAGGCCTTATTTGTGTTTGTCCCCAAATTGGTTTATTTTGTGTACAGTGCAAAGTGAGGACTGTCAGCACTTGCTGAAACCTTGTTCCTTTGCTTCTAATATTTGGAATTGGGCTTTTATGTTGTTTATGTGTAGGTGGAACTTGCCCTTTGAAGTAAATTTTCTTTTTGATCCTTCTACTTTTGGGTGGCCAATGAAGAGAGGGAAACTAATGTGAAAATGTATCAGAGCAACTATTTTATGGACCATTTGGGAGGAAAGGAATGCTAGAATGTTCCAATAAAAGGAAAGAAGCCTCAATAAAGTAAAGTAGTGTGTATTGACAAGGACAATTCTTTTGCTGAAAACTTCAGACCTTTTTATGAATTATTCTTTTGATGATTTTCGAAAAAGTTGTGTAGAGGTGACCTCCATAGCCTCCAAAAAGAATGGAGACCCCCTTCAGAGGGTGTGTTAAAGCTGAACTTTGATGGAAGCAGTCAAGGTAATTCATGATCTTTGGGTATAGGAGAGATTTTGAGAGATAAGGATAGCAACATTCTACCCTTATTTTCAGGACCAGTGGGAGTTGGCGATTCTACAAGGAATGAGATATTTGCTATGCTACAAGGAATACAAGTAGCCAACCAACATGGAGTGGAGAACTTGATAGTTGAGGGAGACTCTAAGGTGGTAGTAGGTTGGTTGTCTGGTCCAAAAACAATTTTCTAGGGTTATAGGGATCTTCTCAAGAAAGTTAATTGGCTTACAAGGAACATGTCAGTCAAATTTTAGTGGGTTAGCAGATCGGCAAATACTATGGATGATTTTGTGGATAAACAAGGGGCTTCAAGGGTTGAGTTGTTTTGGGCTACCTTATAATTGTATTATGTTAAGAGTGTGGTTATGTTCTCATTTCTGAGGGGAAGTAGCGTCTCATGCCTCCTCTTTTGGTAATTGTACACTTTCTTCTCTTCTTAATAAAATTGCCATTCATTTATAAAAAAAAAAGAAATAAAATGAAGCCAAGAGGAATATTCCACTTAGACAAGGAGTTATATGTAGTAGTGCAAGTTCTACGACATTGGCGACACTACTTAATATCTAAGGAGTTTGCGCTCTATTCTGACCATGAAGCCTTAAAGTACTTGAATTCCCAAAAGAAACTACACTATAGGCATGGAAAGTGGGTATCATTCTTACAAGAATACCAAGCTGGAAATGAGAATAATGTGACCAATGCACTAAGTCGGATGGCTTACATACCTCATTTCATGAATGTCCAAGTCGTTGGTTTTGATTAATTAAAGTAAGACTATGTTGGTTGCAAGGATTTCAGCAAGATGAGTATCCTTCCTTTTCGCTACATAATGGTTATTTGTTTTATGATACCTGCTTATTATTATTTATTATTTATTTTTTATGGTACTTGCTTATGTTTGTCAAATACCTCTTATGGGACTGTTATTTGGGAGTTACGTGCTAGAGGTGTAGTAGGTCATTTTGGTAGAGATAAGACCATTGCTATGGTGGAAGATATATTTTATTGGCCTACCTTAAAGAATGATGTTGCTCATACAATAAAGCAATGTAGAACATGCCAACTTGCCAAAGGATGAAAGCAGAACATTGGGCTATATACACCCCTACCTATTCCTCATGAACCATGGCAAGATGTATCCATGGATTTTGTCCTTAGATTGCCCAAGACTGGTAAGGGTCATGGCATAATCTATCTTGTGGTGGATCGTTTCTCCAAGCCCATTTCTTACCTTGTAGCAAAACACATTATGCTTCACATATCGTTACTATATTTTACAAAGAAGTGGTTCGACTTCATGGAGTGCCTTCTACTATTGTATCAGATTGGGACACCAAGTTTATGAATTATTTTTTAAAGACACTTTGGAAACTACTCAATACTCAGCTGAAATTCTCTATACTGTTTCACCTCCAAACAAATGATCAAATTGAGGTAGTGAATAAAAGCTTGGGAAATCTTTTACAATGTCTAGTTGGTGATCATACTTATAGATGGGATCTAGTGCTTCCAATAGTTAAGTTTGCTACTTTGCTTATAACAACTCGGTAAATAGATCCACAAGAAGAAGTCCATTTGAATTGGTGAATAGTATTCAGCCTAAGTGGCCAATTGACTTAGTTACCTTACCACCAAATACATGTACTAGCGTTGAAGTAGAAGCATTTGCTAGGCACATAAGAGAGATACATGAGGACGTTAGGAGGAAAATTGCTTTGAGAATGATTTATACATGGCTAGAGATGATATTCATCGATGGTTGGTAAATTATCAAGAGGGAGACATGGTTATGGTATGTATAGTTTTAAAATGTCCCTAATTTTCCTAATATTTCCATGACATATTTCCATTTCTATGGGTAGTGACACAAAATTTTGCTAGAATCAACATTTCCCTAATGAACACTACCAACACTACGTGGAGTACAAGAATAGTTTCCATGACATACTTCCATTTCCACTTCCATGGGTAGTAACATGAAATTTTACTGGAATTGACATATTCCACATTGAACACTACCAATACTATGTGGAGTACAAGAGATAGTATTCTAACATAAGTTGGTGACAATATTGTAGGTATGTGAAGTAGCAAGTTATTGTCTACCTAACTTATATGATTACCATTTTGAGCTAACTTAATGTTCATTTCAAATATGAAGCTAAATATTAGTTTTTTTATTTGTGTAATAGATTATTTAGTTAATCTATTACAACCATTTACATTTTCTATGAGTTTAAATTTTGCTTTAACTCATTCTATTATGAAGCTCTAAATCTTAAGGTTTATAGGGCAACTTTAGAACATATTCTTTTGTCTATAACCTTAGTTTCTTAGCTTTGTTTAATGATTTAGAATAAGATAATAATTTAAAAAGGTGTCCCTATGCTTCTTTTATCATTTAAAAAAAATACCATTCTATATTTTGCACATTTTATAGTGTTTCCACCATATCTATAATTTTTATGACATTCCCGTACAATATTTCCGACATTTCCGACATGTTTCTTATATTTGGATGACCGACATTTCCACCAACATCGACATTTCAAACCTTGATGTATATGACCAGAGTGTTTTCCTAAAGGTGTGTAGCTCCACTTCAAGAGTTTAGGCCCTTACAAAATCATCAAGAAGGTAAGTTCTAATGCCTATGTTCTAGAGTTGCCAGATGGGCATGGGAATTAGTCTTATCTTCAATGTTGAGGACTTGACTCCTTACCATGACATGTGGATTCTTTTAAGATTACTATGCCTAATTTGCCAACTATTGCAGCTCTAAATGACATTCTAGAGGATGTTTTAGATGAGGAATTAATATCTACTATTACAGGAGGGCATAAAAAATTCCTTGTCAATTGAAAAAGCAAGCCTATATCTGAGTGTTCTTGGATCATTGCTGAAGACTTTCATCATCTTGACCCAGATCTTTATTTAAGATACCATGGTTTTAAATCGCTGGGGTCGTGTTCTTTCAAGTTGGGGAGAGATGATAGGAATTGATCAGCACCCTTGAAGAATTATTCTAGAAAGAAGGCCTTACAACAGGTCCTGATATGGCATAATGATGGTACTTGGGATTTGGAATGAATTAGAACCAAGGGTATTTTTGTTATTTTACAATTTTTCTGTAGGGTCCAATGATAGGGGCTGAATGTCTATTTATAGTCTGTTAATGTTTAAAATTTCAGAGTCATCGAATAAGTGGAATTAAAGTTTAGTTTGATTCCTACTAGGATTATTATGAGTCTAACTGTTTGACTCCTAGGACTGTTATGAGTCTAACAGTTTGACTCCTAGGATTAATATGAATTTAGAGTCTATAAATATGTATGGACATTTTACACAAAGAATAATGAAGTTTACTGAGTTTTCTTCAGCTTATGCTAAATATGGTGACTGATTCCCATGCCCTAGAGTGATTCTAGGCACCTTGTGAGTGATTGTAGTATTTTCTCTCTTCTTTCTCTCCCTATTTTCTTTCTTATTCCTTCAAGAAGCCATTACAGTCATCAAGAGCCATCAATTTCTGAACGAAGAATGCCATTCAACATTCTCTAAGGACTAGAATGATATGATGTTGCACATCCATATTGTTATATGCATATAATATGGCATCTTCAATTCAATCGGATCAGACTGGAGTTCAGCCTTGTTGGATTGAACTGCCCTCCAAAGCAATTCAATCTCCTGTTGGTTTTTAAAACATTGATTGTAGAATTCTAGATGGAGTGGCCAACAGTGGAATTAATCTAAGGTAGCACTCAACCTTGGGATGCCCACATACTTTTCGAGAATTTTGATAGATTTGTAATGCACCTTGAATTAGATTTGCTACACTGTCAATCCGCCACATCAACTCTTGCTTGCAGTTTGGAAACTATGAATTAATGCTCTTGGTTTATATTGTAGATAGCATTGCAATAGTCCAACTTACCAATAGTATCTGTCAAAGAGCTTCCCTTGAAACGTTAGATAACCCAATTTAGCAGCTGTAACACAGATCTCATATTTCACTGGAGAATGATGAAAAGATGCTCAAAGTAGAGTGAACCATGTTAAAAGTTGAAACCAAGCTAACATTTGCAATGAACTATAATATAAACTGTAGATCTCTACACCAGATGGCCTGGATCCTTTCAAACCTAGGAATCCTGCTTTATAGCAAACTGAATCCTTTCATAGTTTTAGAAGCTTTCCCTCCCGTTCTTGCAAGAAGTTGCAACATGCTACATATGAACCTGAACCAAGGGAGCTGGCATATCTGGTTATTATGGGAAAGACTTAGTATCATTTTTATTACTCTACTCTTGAAATCAGAATGTGACCAAACATTTCCTGACACTTTTATTAGGGCTGCAACTTGAGTGGGCTTGGGTTGAGGAATGAGGATTTGTTAAATTTTTAATGTGTCTTGGGACTGATGAAGTGGATAATTTTCAAACCGGGTATCCAAGTTGCATCCTAATTTTTATCCTCATTGGAAAGGCCTATCTAACCAAGAGTGATGTAATACCATTCAAAACATAGTCAACATAGCAGAAACTTTTATTCAATTGATCTGCATAAATTGGTGCTCTGTATATGGATGTCTGGGTATATTTTCTTCAATTGTAATCAGCTTATTCAAATGTCTGCTCTAACACCATTAAGTTGCTAATATGTTGCTATATGCCAGTAACCAACATGGTCAGCATAGAAAAATCTAATTAATCTGCATATGTTGGTACTCTGAATTGTGGATGCATGGATCTATATTCCTTCTTGATCCTTAAACTCCTATTCCACATTTTTCATTTTATTGGGTTAAATTATTGCTTCTTGATTATGTTGATGCTTTATTTTGATCCTTGAGCCTGATTGCTACAATCTTCTCATTTTTTTTTTCTTTCTTTTTCTTTCCTTGTCTCTTTTCAGGACTTGGCTGTTGTGGTGTTGCTAATACTGATCCCTCTTATTTCGCCAAATTCTTCCAAAGGAGGGGTAACCTTTTCTAGAATTAACCCTTATGCTGTTGTGTACCTCTGATTATTTTATGTTTTATTTTCAATAGGGATTGTTTTCTATTATTGTTCATTTTTATCTTTTAAAAACAGCACACATGCAGAGGAGTTTGAATAGTCTGCTTAGTTACATTTATACCTATGTGAAAGTCCAAAAATGGTTCAATGGCAAGACACTTTGTCAGTCATGGAACTTAGTCTAAAAGTTGAAGTGCCCTTTTTTTTGGTAGAAGCCTGAAATGGATATGGAGTAAATATAAGGTATACATGGCTAACCAAGGTTTTGCTTTTCAGGTTAAAACTGTTGGATTAAAACTTATGACTTCAAGGATTGATAGAAGACATTAAGCTGAACATTTATAATTAGAGGCCAAAATACAAAAATAAAAAAAAAGAAATTTTGTATTGAACCTTGTATCTTGGTTTACAGGGAACTGAAGATCCTTTCTCTGAAGTGTCATTCCAATCATATTAGCCTAAAAAGTAAGCGTAGAATGTGTTCCACTCCCAGAGAGGATGCCATAATGTCCCCACTAACATATGATATTAAGACTTAAGAGATGTTTTGCCATGTTAACATCAAAAGTGCTAAACTTGTTCAAATATTAGATTACATCAAATATGCTCTATTTATCTTCTCAAGACCTGGGTCATCATGAAGATATTATCTTTTTACTGTTCTTTCATTTCTCTTGGCATCATAATTAATTACACTTTGTTCTATCTATCTTTTGAATACCTAAACTGCCTAGTTCCATTATCAAATCTTCCATTATGTTGATAACTCTACATCCATTTCTTGCATCTTTCCCCTTTTCCCTTTTTCTTTTTCTTTTTTTTTTTGTTTTTTGATGCCATGGCCCAACCCCTGGTTTAGATTCTGTATAACATCTTATAATTCTTTACAACTCTTAGGTATATAATTATATCTTTATGATTTTTTAGGACACATTTCCATTTTAAGGGTAAGCATCTTCTGATTATTTTGTGGTATTTGTGGGGTAATATTGTCTTCGGTGTACAGGTTGGTTTTCAGGCCATAGCAGAAGCTCTTGGATTAGCAGCTGCTAAGGCAATTGTTGCTATCACTGCCATAATTGCTGGTGGGCGCTTGGTAATTTTCTGCTTTAAGACATTGCCTCTGCATGAGTAATGGTTCATAGTTTTTTTTTCTTAAGTCATAGAACTTGGAATTTTGAAAAGGCTATTTATTTTGCATTTTTAGTTATAGCATGTTAGAACTGTTGTGTCTATCCTTCAAATTAGCATGAACTAAAATATCACGAAAACTGAATTTGAAAGTTAAGCTTAGGGGTGTGCCAAATGCTTTGAAAATAGGCCAAGTCTCCCAGTACCCTCTATCTATGGATCCAACTAAGCATGGATGGCCTTTTAACATGCTTGCACCTGACAGAAATGAGGTATTCTCTGGATGCCTAGAAAAATAAATCCCTGAACCACCAATAATCATTTATGAATTGTTAGAGTCAGCAACAATAAGGGTAGTTTGGTCTTTTGTTATGTAATTAGAGTTGAGTTGTCTATTTTGTCTCTGTTTAAGTTATGTGTCGCATACTTAATGAGGGACATAATTGTCTTTGTATATCAAGATACACAACCTATAAATAAAAGGGGAGTCAGCTAAGAGAGTAAGTTCTTTTTCTCTGGCCAAACTCTCTATTTTCTTCTCTCTTCTTCCTCTTCTTCCCCTTCTCTCTTTCTTTCTTATTTCAGACCTAGAACTGAACTAGTGCTAACCGAACCACTAACATGGTATCAGAGCTCTGGAAATCAGTCTAGAAATCAGTTTTTCTTCTTCCTATCTTTTTCTTTGCATCGCCATATCAGGTCTGAATTTTTGAGATATCTCATCAACCAGTTAGAAGATCAATAAGGGATCAGAAAGGGTTGATTCTTTTTCCTTATAGGAGGTAATCAGCCTCCAAGTGGCTGTGGTGGTGCTTGTTTCAGTGGTGTGCTAGAAATCCTCTACTTGATGACTCGAAGAAGGCTGGTTTGTGGACAGGTGTGAACAGGTCTTCATAATTGGCTGATAGCATGGTGTTTTCTACCCCATTCAAATTGGATTCCAATTGTTTAGCAGTGCTGGTTAGCATGTATGTGTAGGGACTGATTTTCCTTCCTATTCGTGTCTGAATGTGACAGCAATGAGTTTCAGTGCTGAACCCAGAACCCTACAACAGTGAGTATTTCAGCAACAATTAATTATTTGTGGTGTGGTGTGTGTAGTGAGTGCTGAATAATGAAGGGTGGTATTGGCGATTGAAGTTTTCCTGTTTTTTTTCTTAACAATGGCAACAATCGGAGAGAGTACTGATAATAAATCAGGTGTTATGATTTCCCCCAATTACCTCAATGTACAGAAGACATCCATCAAATTAAATGGTGAGAATTATGTTCCATGGGCTAAGTCGGTAGAAGTGTTTCTGAGAGCCAAGAAGAAGGTAAAACATGTAGAAATTTATTGATAAAAAAAAAAACATGTAGAAATTGCAAAACTCCAATCTGGTTTGAAACCTGTGATAGAAAAGTAAGAGGAAAGAAGATTCTGTAGAGAAGAGAAGAGAAATAGAAAAGAATGGGAAAAAGTGAAAATCAGATCTGGTTGCCCCTTTCATTATCTTATATACTCATAAAAAATCTGGTTACAATGACAAGTATACCCTTAGTAAGTCGGCTACTACTAAAAGACATAAAAAGAACTCTTAACAAAAGTCCATGGTCAAACTTGGCCAGTGCATCGGGGAAGATGGATGCGGAGAAGGGATTCAGAGTGGTTGGAAGATGGCGTTCAGAGGTGACAATGGAAGCCAAGTTGTTCAATTTGGAAGAGGAATGGACCAAAGGTAGTTGTGCTCTGAAAATCAGAGAAAACAATAAGGCGACAATATTGGTGCCGGAGAAGTCGTTGTATGGGTGAAAGGTTTCGTGGATGGAGCTATCAACTCGTTTAAGGAGGAAGGGTGGAAAAATACTATGGCAGTTCCAGGAAAAACCTTTGTAATCGAAGTAAGGAGAAATACCAAGGGGTGGTTCATTACTATGACTGAGCTTTTTGGATTAAGGGGAAAACAGATGGTTTTCTTACCAGAAGGTAAAAGGCAGAAAGGTTGGTTGGTTTTTGTGCAGGTGTTGCAGGCTTTCCTTGTGGCTGTGGAATGGAAGAAGAAAAAAGATGAGAAGGCAGTTGTCCAGAATTCAAAAGCTAGTGACCAAAAGGTTCAGATGGAGGGTATGGTTGGAACCGGTGGGAGTGTAGAGGTGCATGGACCTACTGCTCCTGGTGTGGCGGTTGCCTGCTCCTCTGTACATCAGCGAATTTTGGTGGGGGATGGCACAGATTTTTGGAGGAAATGACTGGTGCTAGTGGCTGACAGGAGCGTGAAGGATTAGCAGAAGGTTCTGGATACTGTAGCTAAGGAGGTAGATTTGGAAAACAAAGCCAGTTTGTTTCCATTTGCAGAGACGAAGGTGATTCTTGATGTAGGCGACCAGGAGCTGTGTTTCACACGGTGGTTGTGGATGGCTGCCTCTTTCAGCTTCAGAACTGGAGCCCTCTCTGCAACAAAGTGGAGGTGAAAGAAGGCTGCTTACGGTTGAAGTTGTTAGGTCTTCCCTTCAATCTTTGGAGGGACTCTGTTCTTGAACAGATTGCTTGTTGCTTGGGTGGGGTTCTGATGGGAACCAACAAAAGAAGTCTGGGGACAGTCGAGCTTCAGGTCGCCGGAATCAAGCTTGAAAACGTCCCAAGATCCCTTGATATCAGTTCAGATGGAGCTTGGGTCAAGGTGTGGGTAGTGTTTGAACTCAAACAGATGTGGTGGGGAAGAAGTCCAAAGGTTGAAGACGAAGCTGTGCTGGCTGGGTGGTGGACACGTGGAGGAAGGAGAGTGGGAAAAGAAGCAAGCCTGCATGGGAATGCCAAAATAGCAATTAACCAGGTGGTGGGGGAAGTCCAGGCAACAAGTCAGCCATTTAAAAGAAATTAATTCAAACTTTTTTGAAAAGAGCAAAAGTGGGGCGGGTTTTTTAACTTTTTCTAACGTGGAGAAGCTCTCAAGTGAACCAAAATTTTCTCTTCCAAGGGCCTGGTCTGAGCCGGGGGGGGGTTATGGTCGGTTCGGTTATTAAACCGAACACTATCTTTAGTGACCCATGTGACCACTTAAAACGTCATGTGGGTCGGGGTTAAGGAGGTGGGAGTTGGGCCGACTATGGACCGCCTCATCGGTCTGTCTTCGTCTTCATTGGGGAGTTCTGTTGGGGACAAGAAGCAGCGGCAGAAAAAGGTATGCAGGGTGAGTTGCTGTGGTTGCGCTGACAAGTTCGTGAAGTTCCAAGCTCTCTGAGATGTTCCGCCAAGAAACCAAACCCTAGATTTGAAAGAGAAAGGTGCGAAGAAGATGCTAGGGCGTACGAAGGATGGGTTCGTTGTAGGGAGATCAGTGAGAACTCGGACGGCAACTTAGTTAGCGGTTCTAGTCTTGGCAGAGTGAAGGACGAGGCAGGTTTCGATGAAGGTGTTTTGGGCATGCACATGGCGGGTTTATTTCAGGGGGACATAAAAGAGGTGAGGAGATGTAGTCCAGGCAGCTTTGAAGGCTCGATTGGCACAGTGGGGGGTCCTGGAACATTGGGAGTAAGTGAGACTGTTGAACCTTATGGGAGTAACCCTTCTTCAAGCCTTTAGATTGTGCAATGCGCAACTAGTGTGGCAAATCAGAAGAACCTGAAGTAGAGCATGAATACATCACCAAGGGGTAAACATTGGGGAGAGAGGACAGATTGCTAGATTAGCCAGAGAATATATTTTGACTCCCAACCAACTTAAGGGGACAGCTAATTACCAACTTCTTGAACCAGTTCGGGAGGCCGAGAATTTATGCTCGGATGTAACCCCACCCCTCCAGTTAATCCCAGGTAACCGAGTCAGTTCAGTTTTTGTTACTGATGAATCTTCTGTGTCCTTTGTTCCAGATTCCGATCCCATTCCAAGCTCTGCAGCCTCTGTATGTGAAGCCAGTGTTGAAGGTAGATGCATTAGTTTTGCGGAGAGGCTGGTGAAGGATCAGGAGGGGGAGCTTATAGGAAGGTATAGAAATGAGAAGGTGTGGGAAATTATTGAAGGAGTTTTCAATGAGTTGGAACAAAATGTCTTGAGGAGGGAGGGTATGATTGAGATCAGAGGGGAGGGGTCTAGAGGGAGTAGATTAGGAAAGAAGAGGAGAGATGAAGGGAAATGTTAGGGGGTGTTTTGGTGGAAGGAAACAGGAAAGGGGATTCAATAGTAAAATTTGTGGGGAAACTAGGTTGTAGATTGGAGAATTTGAACATCCTGAAAGGAGGCTTACAGAAGAGAAAGGAGGAGATCAAAGTGAAGAAAAGGAAACTGAGCGAAGTTGAGAGGTTGAGAAGGGATGTGGAAGGTGATAAAAAGTTTGGGGTGAAAGGAGATAGAAGAAAAGGGGGGAAGTAGTGGGCAGGTGAAGAAGGGACGTAAGAGAGAATTGTTAATGAAGATTCTTAGCTGGAATGTGAGGGGTATAGGAAGTGCAAGGAAAAGAGCTACGATCAAAGAGGTGTTAAAGCAGTTTGATCTTGACATTGTATTAATACAGGAGTCCAAAAGAATGGATTTTGATGGCAGATGGGCTAGGAGTATTTGGAAAGCTAGGGGGATCAGTTGGGTGGCTTTCCCCTCTTGGGGAGCCTCAGGGGGATAGTTACTTTGTGGAAGAAGGATGTGGTTGAAGGTGTGGAGGAGCTTATTGGGAAATATTTAGTTTCACTGAAGTTCAAGCAGCAAGCGGATGGTTACGAGTGGGTTTTGACAAATGTTTATGGTTCAAATGATTACAGAGAGAGGAAGGATTTTTGGGAGGAACTAGTTGATGTCAGAGAACTTTGGGATGGGCCTTGGTGTGTGGGTGGGGATTTCAATGTGATTAGGTTCACGGAGGAAACCAATATTAGCAATCAGAGGGTGACAACTAGTATGAGGAAGTTTAATCGGTTTGTGGATGCTTTTGAACTCAGAGATACCCTTAGCCCAAAAGTCATTCACTTGGTCCAATCTCCAATCAAGTCCTATTTGCTCTAAGCTGGATAGGTTTCTTTTCTCTTTGGATTGGGAAGACCATTGGGGCAACCTTGCATCTAGGGCTCTTCCTAGACTAACCTCAGATCATTGGCCAATTGTGGTATGCAAAGAGGAGAGAAGGAGTGGAGGCCCTTCCCCTTTTAGGTTTGAAAATATGTGGTTGCTCCATCCTGGAAATTCAATATGAAAAAGAAATTCAGCTTTATTATTTTTTTAAGGAAAAGGATTTCTACAATGTTTGCTCAGCTGACAAGTTTGACATTTCAACTCTATCAGGGATACTGATTTAAACAATTTTGGAAACAAAATTTTCAATGACTCAAAATTCAAATAACCAAGACGACTATGCCATAAATAAACCTAACTCATATTGGATTGACTCATAGACTCTGTAGCTGTAAGACCAGACTTTGTGGCTTCAAAACTAGCTTTATTCTCCAAGACTCCAATACATAGAGACCATCGACCATACTACCTCTACCAATTGTCTCCGCCGAGATCAAATCCTATATTACACAAGGAGGGAAAAAGGTTACTAAGCAATTCACTGAATTTGTAATGCTACACATGGAAAACAAGTTTATGGGAAGTTTAGGTACATGCAATACATCTGAGAGTAAGGCTAAATGCAAGAGAAATGGTTACTTGATCAGCTATGGTGGAGAATGAACCATCAGCTAGTCTCAGCTTATCTCTCCTAGAAAGTAGGTTATAGGACAGAAATGAATTGGACTTGCTTGTCATATGATTCGAGGTTCTAGAATTAATGATCCCGGAGATTCTGAAGCATGAGAGGATATATGGAAGGATGTGGCAGAGTTATTTGATGTAGACACAAGGGAAGTCGGGAGTGGTGCCAGAATCCATATGACGAAGTGTCCTACCATACAACTCTAGATGGTCACAGAACGAGTTAATTATATCTTCTTGGGATTGGAACTAGAACAAAGATCTTGATACATAGTGGAACCTGAAGTCTGATGTTCCTAAGTGACACCATGTTGATGAGTTGTACTTCTTCTGATCCTGCTAACTAGGCTTCTTGTTTTGTTCTGGATAGATTTCTTATTTAATTCTTGAGCCCACTTAGGCTTTTCATAGAGATCCCAACAGGTGTCCCTAGTGTGTCTGGATCACTGGCAAGAGTACACCAAAGTTTATCATTGTCATGATGTCATCCACCTTTTTCTAAAAATCACCCTTCTTAAAGGAACTTCCACCACTTGCATTTGCACCTCCACTAACTGCCAAAGCAACCGGTTCCCCCCTCTGAACTATTCATCACATTCCTCCTCTCTTTTGATTGTACCAAGGAATATACCTCCTGGACTGAAGGGAGATCTTTGCTTTCCAAAATCTGCACCCTGATAGACTCATACATAGCTTTTGGCCCCAAAAGAAAAGCGAAAACCTGTCCCTGGGAAACTAGAGACTTGTAGGCCTTGGCATCCTCATCACACTTCCAGTTCATATTCAGATAGTGATCTTACTCCCTCCAGATAGAGGTCAAATTGGAGTAATAAACTGAGTGACTCCTTTCCCCTTGTCTACACGTAGAGGATCAACTTGCAATTGATAGATTTATGCATAGTGTCTTTGCTCAGAGTATGTAAATTGAGCTTGCTCCCAAATTTCACAAGTTGTCTCTGTGCACATAAAGTTTTTCCTTACTTGTAGTATAGAAACTAAAAGCCACAACATCACCATACTATTTTCTTGGTTCCACTTATCATGTTCTGCACTCCCAGACTTTGGCTCCTTAATTTTTCCATTGATGTATCCTATCTTCCCTCTTGCAGTTATGTAAAGTTTAATCCCCTTTGACCACTCTAGGTAGTTAAGTTCATCTAGGGAAATAACAGCCATAGGGAAGTTCAGATCATACCCCCACTCACTCCACCATGAGTAGCAGACACACCAGAAGTGGCTGAATCCTCAGAGACATGGGCAGAGAGCTGTTGTTACTGTCCAGCCACACAGGAAACAATAGAAGAGCAAGCAGCAGACCCCTTAGTCTCACACAAACAGCACTTAAAAATTGTATTCAGTACATTCCACATATAACACGAGGCACTGGAACACTGCAGGAACAGATAGAGGGTCAAAAAGTGACAAGAAACAGATCAGGATGGGTCTAGATAGGCCCTGCGAGCATCAAAAACATCTCCTCTAGGGCATACGATCACTACTTTTTCAAGAACATACTTGCTGTTACTGCAGGTACAGGCCATTCCAGACCTACAAAAGCACTCACCTGAATGCACAAGGATCATGTGATCCACCAAAAAGATGGGAGCACACTTCCAACACCTTCACAGTGGCTGTCACCACTTCTCAGACTATATCTTGGTACATGGCTAAGAGAAGAGGAAAAAAATAGCTGATCCCCTCAAAATCAGTGAATGTGAATATCCTGTATTTAATCCAGAAAGAAAACAGTAGGAAGACAAGGAATCTTTGAACTGCCTTCAGACCCAAGATTCCTGGAAGAAATCAAAGAGTAGAGGAAGGAGAGAAGAGAGAAGAGAGCTGGCAGTGCCAGCTCTACTATTTATATTAGGGCGTCCCTATGGCTCTAAGTACATGTACTGTTAACAGTATCTTCCATCTTCTTTCTTGTATGGACTTTACTTGTGAATGTTCTGCTGAGGGAACCTTTCCCTCCTTTTAATACAAAGGTCCATTACTTAAAGAAAAAAGAAAAGAAATGACAGAATTGTACAAACTTTATTCTTTATGTTCTTTGATGAGAATCATGTTTGGGAAGCTTGAACCTTTTTATGGAATCTAGATTGTCATTTTTGACATTTTACTTTACTTTATTATTTGAGCATGGGGTTCCTATTTACATTTCCCTCCTGTGTTTTGGCAGTTGCTTCGACCAATTTATAAGCAAATTGCAGAGAATCAAAATGCAGAGATATTTTCTGCAAATACACTCCTTGTTATTCTAGGGACTAGCCTGCTTACAGCAAGGGTAGGTGCACTACTGCTGTTAATTTTCCCCCATACACTTCCAACTAAAATTTATGCTTCCCATTTTCTTCTGGAACAGGCTGGGCTTTCTATGGCACTAGGAGCATTTTTGGCTGGCTTGCTTCTTGCAGAAACTGAATTTTCCTTGCAAGTGGAATCAGATATTGCACCATATCGTGGGCTTCTGTTGGGTCTCTTCTTCATGACGGTATGGATTTGATTGTGATTTCAGTGCTCTTGTTTGCATACCCAAGGGTTTCTGATTGATTACTCTTTTTCAAAGACTGCCATGCTAATCCACTCTGAATGTCCTGCTTTCTTGCTGTTTTCATTATCTTCTAACAATTTAGCGTATTCATTTCCTTAACCTGCCTTGCTGTTCCTTAAGCTTCTTTTCTATACTTAGTTTGTTGCATTTAATATTTATTTTTGGTCAACTATTCCATTTTATTCTTTTTTTCCCGTCACATTGTTGCTTAATAAATTTTCTTTATCAGAGATTTAACTGTCCTATGTTATTATGGAATCTCACTTGGATATCTGCAATTGACTTTTTTCATTTCTTCTGGGGTTTCAGGTTGGGATGTCCATTGATCCGAAACTTCTTGTGTCAAATTTTCCAGTTATTTTGGGAACACTGGGACTCTTGATTAGTGGCAAGGCTATATTGGTTGCTTTAGTTGGTAGACTTTTTGGTATTTCAATCATAGCTGCAATAAGAGTTGGTCTTCTTCTTGCACCTGGTGGAGAGTTTGCATTTGTAGCTTTTGGGGAGGCTGTTAATCAGGTTGGCCGTCATTTGAATAAACTACATTGTGTGCAAGCTTTTGTTGTTTTAATACAGGTTACTATGCTTTCTGGTTCTCCTGCATATAATATCTAAATTTGGCAGTTAAATGCTTAAAAAATACAAGACCTTTTCTCTATTAATTTTCCTGTATGATTTCAAGATGATTCATTCAACAGTAGCTTTACTTTATGCATTTTGTCCTAGATAGGAACATGTTTGGTAGATGTGCCTGCATTTTGACCTGGTTTGTGACTCACAGGCTGTTTAGGGGGATATGATACAGTGGATATTTTTTATCAAGATATCTTGTTCTCATAAAATATGTAAATACAAAAGACATTTATTATATACTCCCATTGTACTGTCCCTTAGTGTACAAGGGCACATTTTCACATTTGCTTATTAATATAATATTTTACAGTTTCAAAAATTAATAAAAGCTATCACTATAAAGAGGTGTGTTTTTGTGTTTTCACTAGGGATGTACGTGGTTTATCAAAATAGGATGTATCAAAATCAACACACACACACACACAAATACGTGTATAGTTGTATACATACAAAAATATAAGTATATAGGGAGAAGTCTGTCATATCAAAAACTCATGTGATGAATTTCTATATTATCATTAATATCTGCATAATTTCTTTATATCTGGATGGATCTATGAAACAAATGAACACTTACTACCATGTACATCAACTTAAATAAGGGCATAGTTTTTGTGTTATATACTCTGACCAAGTGATAGGAATTGATCAGCACCCTTGAAGACTTGTTCTAGAAAGAATAAGGCCTTACAACAGGTCCTGATATGGCATAATGATGGTACTTGGGAATTAAACACCAAGGGTATGTTTGCCATTTTACAATTTTTCTGTAGGGTCCAATAATAGGGTTTGATTGTCTATTTTATAGTTTGTTTATGTTTAAAACTTTAGAGTCATTGCATAAGATTAGAGTTATTTGAGTCTTCTTTGAATTGAAATAAGATATGACAACTTAGTTTGAGTCCTATTAGGATTATTGAGCCTAACAGTTTGATTCCTAGGACGGACTATTATGAATCCAACAATTTGACTCTTAGGATTGTTATGTGTTTAGAGTCTATAAATATGTATGGACGTTTTACACAAAGAGCAGTGAAGTTTATTGAATTTTCTTCAGCTTATGCTAACTATGGTGAGCGATTCCCATGCTCTAGAGTGATTCTAAGCACCTTGTGAGTGATTCCAAGTATTTTCTCTCTTTTTTCTCTCCCTATTTTCTCTCTTATTCCTTTAAGAAGCCAGCCATCAACAGCCATAAAATTCTGATCAAAGAACATTCAACATTTTCCAAGGACTAGAACTGAGCTGGTCCTATCAGTTTGGTATCAGAGCCAAGGTTGTAGGCTGTTATCATCATGGCTACATGTGTCAAGGAGTATAGGTGTTGGCTGACTGATAGACAGAGATTCAATGATGTCTACCCTTTGCATGAGAGTTGAAAGTTGAAACCTTTAAAGCACAAGCAAAAGAGCTTCAAGAAGCTAAAGAAGAAGAAATCCAGCAAGAAGCACCCCTAATCAATGAAAGGGATTGAAGACTAAACAAGGGATTTGTCCATGAAGATGATAATGGTAAAGATGAAGGATTTGTTTATCTTAGAGGACGACAAAGAGCTGCAAACTGCACAAGGGTATCACCTGCACAAGCTAATCGAGACTCAAGTACCCATCAAGGGATTGATCAAGAAGCATCGCTCACAAATCTATTTGATGAGATGATGGAACAGGCTGAACATGGTGGTTATGCAGATGATATAGCCAAGAAGGTAAAGGTGGATGTTTTTGATTTCATTGGAGACTTGAATCCTCAATTTTTTTTATATTGGCTGGCTGCACTTATTAGACAGTGTATGCCCTTAGCTCCAATCAGATTGATGTATTTATTGTCATTTATTGTAAATGAATAAAAGTGCATAATTGATTAATGTGATTTGGTGTGTTTCTGTGTAATACCCTTGAACTGGACACTTATGAGACTCGTGTTAGTTTAGAATCTTCACCGTCGTTGGATAGATCATGAGAGATTTATCCTGCCATGGTTGACACTGATGTGCCGCCAAGTTGGTTAGGGTGGCTTGTCTCAGCTACCAGGGTGAGACCTGAGGTACATGCAGTGTGGGTTTTCTTGAAACCCTGAACCAGACCAAATTCCAATATTGCCCTGGACCTTGGAGATAGATGGACAAAACTGAAATGTTACACCTGACCCCTAGACTTGATTATGGTACTTCACTAGGTGTCGGATTAGTCTTTGATATGCCAATCAGTGAAATCCTTAGAGGGGGTCAAAACCTAGGTATATTGGGGCAATCCGAGAATTCATCTGATTGGGTGATCATAGTGACAGGATCAGCCCCTTTGTCGGACAAAGTGAATGATCGGGGAATGCACTCTCTCTGATGAAAACCTAAACTACCAGTAGTGGATTTCAAATGTGTTTGAAATTTGGTTTTGCAAAATATATTTATATAGAGATATACTTATATATTATAGTTTCAAATTGCTTGCAAAAGGTTTTAATTCCTGGGATCCATGTGAGTAGAGAGTGCAGCACTGTACCTTGCAGCCGAGGGAGAGGTCCTCTCTTGTCGGGCAGTGTATAATCATTAAGGGCTGAGAGGTTAAGTGTAAGACCATTTAGGGATAATAAACCTGATGGGCTAATCTCACATAAGTCCATAGTTCCTGAGCCTTTATAAGGTGGCTGGACTCAGGGACCATCTAGTGTAGATGTTGGGTCCACTATGAGCCTATATTGATGGGTTCAGGGGTTTATTTGGCCAGGCCTTGTAACAGAGGCTAGGCTGAACCAATATGGCTTTTGTGGAGATCAATGCTAGGGTCCCATGCCATACAAAGAGAACCAAGTTAGCCAACAGTTAAAGGAAGTGAGCCTAAAAGATTAATGGGCCTTAAAAGCCCACATCGAATTGGGTATTTAATTAGATTAAATAAAAGGTGACAAATTGGGTTTATAATCAGAATAGGATTAGCTAATGGATAAGATAAGTCTTATCCATTTAAGAGTCCAGATTCAAATATAGATTTGAATCAAAAGAATTCTTTCCTAATCATATTAGGAAGCTGATCCAAAAGAGGATTATAAATAGGAGGGTGAATTCTCTTCACAGAGCACTCAACTCAGAATTCTTAGTTTTGCTTTTCTCCCTCTGTTCTTGCCACCACCTACCCTATTCGATCTCCATCTTGGACTGGTCAAGATTTGATCTCGATATTATTTCTTGCTAGAAGAAATAATTTGAAGCTATGCTCACATCCTTGACGTGATTCTTGCTGAAGAACCTCCCTATTGATCTTGCCTCATCCTAAGCTGTGTCAACTTCAGTGGATGACGGATTTGCACTCTCTTTGGATGTGAACACCTACATTGGGAGGAGCATTTGCATGGATTCCATATCAGGTATCTCTCTCCCTAATCTTTGGTCCAGATCTGGTCTGGCTTGTTTCAAGAACGATCCTTGAAAAATGTAGTTTTTCTAAAATTGGGAATAGAATTCCTGGAAGGGAGAGAAATTTTTTGAAATTTCGCCCAGCCTTCCTACATGGTTCAACCATCCATATGATGGATCTCCCTTCCCTTCAGCACTAGAGGAATTTTTTGATTGGTATGACATGATTGATGATCAGAGGAGCAAATTTGCACGTATGAAGCTTGGTGGTCATGTGAAAGTATGGTGGAGAATCATGGAGCGACGATTGGAGAATAGAGGTGATGGTCCTATTTCTACATGGTCAGAAATGAAGAAACATTTGAGGGACAAGCACCTACCAATGGACTACTGAAAGTGAGAGGCAAAAGTTGGCTCGATTCAAGAATGGACTAAGGGCTGAAATCAAGAAAGAGATGGTAATTGCTCAAGTCTTTGACTTGGAGGATGCTTACCAAGTTGCTGTCAAAATTGAGAAGAGTTTAAAGACAAATACAAGGCAATTTGTATCACAAGCTCAGAGTATGCAAATCGTAAGCAAGCTGATGGGGAAAGACTTCTAGGCCGACATATTCTAATGCCAGCTCTAGCCTAGTGGGTCTAGACCTTATCAAGGGGTTGACTATAAGAATAAATCAGTTGCTAGTGGTGTTACTCAGAAAAAAACAGACTGATACTAGTTGCTTTAGATGTGGAGGAAAGGGCCATATTGGCTTACCAATGTCCTACCAAAAGCCTTAATACCATTTATAAAGAAGGCATTGAAGTGGTAGATGATCCAGGTGATGACTTAGCTGAAGAAGAGGGTTATTCTTTCACTAATGATGATGCTTTAGATGAAGACAACAACTATGTTGTAGTTCGGCATATTCTTGCATCTCCAAAGGAAGAAATCAAGGAAGATTGGCTTCGTACAACAATATTTCAAACTATAGTGAAGAGTGGAGACAAGTATTGTAAGCTTATCATAGATGGTGGCAATAGTATGAATGTGATTTCTGAAGGCCTTGTGGATCGGCTAAAGTTGATACCACAACCATACAATTGCTTGGGTTGATAACACAACAATTCTGGTAACTAAATGAGCCCTTGTTACTATTTCTTATGGTAGTTATTCTGATTCTGGTGTGACATTGTCCCTATGAATGTCGGACACATTATTTGGAAGGCCTTGGTTGTATGATAGGGATATCTACCATTGTGAAAGGAAGAAAACATATAACTTCTTATTTAATGGGAAGTGAGTTATCATGAAGCCAATGTCACTAGAAGTTATTAAAAGGCATGCCAGGCCACCTCAAAAGGAGACTTCCAAAGGTCTGTTGTTTAATCTAAGAAAAAACCATTGCATTTGCTCTCCAAAAAAGAGTTTGAAGTAGAAAGCAAGGAGATATGAGTTGTATTTGTTGTAACATCCAAGGAGGCAAAGCAACCAAATGTTGTTCCACTTACTCAAATGCCTAAAGAAATGGTCCAAGTGTTGGATTAGTTTTCAGAT